AATGGGTAGCGGCTCGGATTACAGTTGAGTCCATTCGGAAAGACATTTATGCATCTTCTCTCCTCTCAGGTATGGGTAAATAGCAGGGCAGTCTGGGTCCTATAGCCATCGTTGGCAACGGGTCTAGGTGAAGGATAATTCTGAATTCAAAACCATGAGGAGGGTCGTATGGGGAACTTGTGGCACCCTGTGCACTAGTTATCTGTAATCGTCTCTTGCAAAAAGTATGGTTGATTTATCAAATCAAATGTGCGTGTCGTCTGGCTAAGAGCCGAGATGTTGGACACACAAACGGCAAAAACGACAGGAGAATCTTCTCTCTCTCTCTATATATATATATATATATATATATATATATATATCCAATGAAAATGTCTTCGAAATTTCCATTATATCTGAATGATCCTCATATATCAATATATTTAAAATAGATCTTAAGTACGATATAAAGAAGAAACTTTTTGAGCAGAGGATGTCCGTTATTATATATATATATATATACACATATATATATATATATATATATATATATATATATATATATATATATATATATATATATATATATATATGTATGTATGTATGTATTATAATTATTATTTAAAAATCTGTATTCATCGCGACGCAGAAATTACCATGTTTCGAAGCCAAAACGTAAGTCTTAAATTAAGCTTACAATTTAAAGTTTAGTTTCATCTTCAAGCGATGCTGAATAACATCCGAAAAAATGATTTATTCTTTTTATATAAGCTAAATTATTGTAAAGATTAAGTTGGCGGGGGAAAAAATTACGGGGTGTTGGTTTTTTTGACGAATGAAGATACAAGTATAATTTACGGTGGCAAAATAAGTAGCAGTTAAGGTTAGGTCTGGATTAGAAATTTCTGTCTGTTGATACAAGCTTCCTTATATGAGAACATGTCATCATAGTCTTGTTTATCTAGGATACTCTACAATTCAATTGGCATCATTATTTAGTTTTTTATTCATTTTCTTATTTATAAAATACATTGAAATTTTCTTAAAGGGGCGTTCGAATATGATTAAGTCATATTTATAACGTTCTAAAATACTTCATTTATTATATTTACTTATAAACTATGTACGGTATAGTGAAATTAAAATATTACAATTTAATTACGCATTCTTAAACTATTTCATTTATGCTCAAATAATAGATATATTATTATGCACATTATTTATATAATTAATATTTTTTAAGTAACATATAATACAATGCCTACAAAAAATATAATTTCATTCCTTTGGTTTAATAAAGATTTATTTTTCAGAAACTTAATTATATATAACTTCATGTAGGCACAATGACATGGGTCATTTAAAAATCTACATGTTTTCTTTTTTTATATACGTTTCTTTTTTAATATGGGTGTCTTATTAGTTTCTTTTAAATGCCAAAATATTTAGACATGGATGTTTGGTAGCGATACTTAATACTACTGAAGGAAGTCAGATCTTGGCTCTATCTTGATGTAAATTAATTTTTAGTGAATCCAATATAGAATTTTTCAATATTAGGATTCTCCTTACATGTGATAGTACATTGGTAAACTACAGTTTCTGTGAGACATTGATTATTCATTCAAAGGAAAATTTTCAGGATTCCTACAGTTACATAATTTTTCTTTACTATTGTTTATTTCTGTTTCTGGGTCACTATTTATTAGATTCTGGTTAAAGTATTTATTTATAATTTTATTATTATGTTTTTTTTTAAATTTTTTCTAAATTTTCAGTACAACTATAACTTAATTTTAGGATATTTTTAGTAAAACTCTTGCTAAATGTATTATTTCTAGGAAAATGTTTTTCAGTTAAAACAAGAAATTTATGTCCTTACTTACTACTAATCATTTAGTTGAATGGGGGTGTGTAACAAAATTTTTCTATTTCTATTTCTTCTCTGGTTTTTATTATCATTCCATTTTTTATATAATTGATATCAGGGAATTTATAGCCATTATTTTTTAAAGCTTTATTATAATTTTTTTATATGTGCGGCTGGTTGACCTGGGAAACACTTGTTTTTAAAGAAAACTTTAACACGCCGTCTTCACCGCTAAATAGTATAAGGCTGATAGCTGGAATATGGTTTTATATATATATATATATATATATATATATAAGAGATCGTAATAGTTATCTTTTAATATAAGATGTATAAAGATTGCGATGTCATGGGTGTTAAGAAAGATATAATCTCAAAAATAAAAGTTATTGTAAAATTATTGATTGACGGAAAAATTATAAAAAAATAAAGAGTTCAAGAGAGAGCAAAAGAAATTGGGAACCTTTGGCAAGATAAGAACCAGAAACAAAAATGTTCTTAGGAACTTTAAAAAAAAAAGACATTTGAGAAAAAGATTATACATGCAGTGAGAAAGTGAAGTGGATTGTCCAATAAGAAAATATGTGAAGAGGGGTGAGTTTCAAATGTAAAGAAAGAGAAAAGATGCAGAATATCAAAATATTATCTAAAGGCAGAAAATGCATCCAAATTTCCATCTTTAATACATATAACAGAGACGTGAAAGTTGGCCGAAGAGGTGCAAGGAAAATGATTTCTTAATAGTAAATTTTACTGATGACTATAGAAAAACATTGTCTAGTCATTAATGGATGCACTCAAGACGAGACTCTTCATGGAAATTGTTAGTCATCAGTATTTAGAAAACAACAGCATGAAAGTATTCTGCATTCGTTTTTTATTAGAGGTCACATCAGAGTTGATGGTATTAAAGGTAAATATGGAGAATTACAACCAGTTTGGGGGACAAGGCGTAAGTGAACTAGCAGACGTGTTTTGCTACAATTCATTTTAACTCAATGTTATAAAAAAAATTATTCACCGAGTTTGCTTGCGTTAGACAGTTTGCGGAAGAAATACCACCCACGTAATGGTAAAACATTCGTGGCAATAGGGTTTTCGCCTTCGGGAGGTATTTATACGAAACCCTGTACAACATGACACCCCACAAACAAGTTATCAGTATCTTAAAGAAACATTTTAAGGTGAATATATCGTGATATATCGTTCATATTAATATTATCGCCAGATATTTTCCAACATTCTGTGTTGAAACTGATTTGTATAATACACTGACAAGCACACACACACACACACAAATATATATATATATATATATATATATATATATATAAAATTTTATCGCAATAAAAATTGACAAAGACATGTTATGGTAATACATAACACAATGCAAAAGATAAATACAGAAAATCGAAAAAATGTTTTTACTTTATTATTTGATGAAACATTCGATTTTGTGTAGCAATGTTAAACTGTAGTTCCTTTTATTGGGAATCAGTATATTTTTCATCGAGTAGTCAAAATTTATTTTATTGATTCATTTTCAATGGATTATCACTCCATTGCAGGTTATTTAAAGACAGAAAATATTTTGTTTTAGAATATAAGCTTTTTTTTTTAATTTGAGGCTGTTTCATGCTAAACCCAATCGTCAGGCCGCCGATTGCGTGTAGCATGAAACAGTCTGTCGCCTCTGAGTGTTCACTTCAATGTTCACTTTTAAATATATATATATGTCTGTGTGTGTGTGTGTGTGTGTGTGTATAGAAATAATATAAAAATATAGTTTTAAATTATGCTGTATCTACACCTCGAGGCGGTGTAGCAAGCTTGTCTCGCTAGAACAATTACTACTGAGTAGTGAGTTCGATCCTTACTGGGTTCCCCCTACATTCAGCCTCTAAACTACCCTTGGAAAATCACTATGCTATATCAATAGGTAAATGTGCTCAATAACAGGGATATTGTGTGTAAATATAAGAGTGGACACTGAGGACAATACCGAGCGGCGACGGTCTGTTTCATACTTGAATATTGCATTCAAGCATGAAACAGACTGTCGCCACTCGGTATTGAACTAAGTGCCCACGTGTATGTGTGTTTGTATATATAATATACATTTTATGTGAGTGTGTGTGACAATATCATAGATTGTGTTTTATAAGAAAAAAATGGTCGATAAGTGTATTTCTGCAAGCTAATGTTGTTCTAAGGTAAGCAGTTTTTAAAAACTCAGAGCAGTTACAGATGTGTTGAACATCTAATTTTATTTATGACCATATATATATATATATATATATATATTAGTGAAACTGGATATACGGAACACTTGCAAGACCGTAGATAGCTGTGCTAGCACGAAGTCACAAGTCATCGTGACCGAGGGTTTGAGTGTGCTAGCCTTATTCAGATTGTTGATCACGCTAGATAATACGTTCTCTCCTCAGCATAGTTGCAGTATAAACCACTAGTGGGCTCTGTAGGTGTTGAACAAACACAAATGTGCCTGAGCGAGCATCTGAATTAGGGATTGGCTAGCCGCCCTAGTAGACGCATACGAGTGTCCCGCTATCATATATATATATATATATATATATATAATTATTTTCTAAGCGTAGCTTAGATGTGGCACAAGGCCGAAAGTATGGGGCACCTCATGAGGATCGAACTCACTTTTCAGTCGTGACTGATCTAGCCAGACAAGCTTATAAGCATTACACCACGCCGATGTACCCAATATATATATATATATATATATATATATATATATATATATATATATATATATATATATATATATATATATATATATATATATATATGTGTGTGTAACGGAGAGAGGAAGTAGAGAGGGCGTTCTGAACAAAGACTGATTGACAGTTATCCATGAAACGACTAAGCGCGTGTATGTGCTTCGTTAAAGAGTTGCCTTTAAGAAATATTATTGACGCAGAACCGTGTAATACAAATTGCAGGGAACTGCTCCCATTTCCAAGCACAAGCCATGCCCTAGTGTGTCTGCACGTGTTAGTTTACTTGGGTGCTGCGGCTGGTGTAAACTGATTTTCTGCAGAAAAAAAAAAAAAATTAAAAAATGGTGGTTAGACTTCTTCCTTCCCACGTCAGTCTCAGATTCAACACTGACTAGACCATGCAGGCTTTTGCCCCTCTGGCCCATGTACCAGCCCTTCCCACTCATTATTGGGAACATACTGAGAACTACTTCTGCGTCTTTGTCTGTCTTCAAGCCGAAGTGCCTCAGCCAGAACTATTAATCAGCTTCAACACTCCGTTGCTCCCCACTGCTGCTTTCTGGCTTCAGCTCGTCTGATTTTATAAGATTCATTTATCTCCCTCCGTGCTTTTCTTGTTGTCTTTAGTTTCCTGCGTCCATTCTCCCGCCATTTTTACATAATTCCTTCTTATCTTTACGATTTTCTTTCTTCCGTTTTTCTCTCGTTACTTTTTTTTTTCTTCTTAGTCTTTGTTTCATTTTCCCTTGGTTCTGATTTGTCTATATTTTTATTCCAATTGTTGTATTTTTCTTTTTCTATTTTTTTTTTTAGATACTTTATTATTTCGTCGGATGATCATTTTGTTTCTTCTTCCATTTTTTAATTCTATTCTAATTCTTTTTTGTTTTTCTCTCCATTATTTTTTCTTCCTTTCGTATTCACGATTCTCGTATCTTTTCTGAAGTTTTTATTCCAGTTCTTTTCTTTTACTCCATTTTTTTTTATCTTTCCTTCAATGTTCATTCTTTATTTACTTATTTTATTTATTTATTTATTACCTCTCTCGCTCTTTCTTTTCTCGGCATCTCAATTCATTCTTTTTTTCATTTTTTCTTTCTCTGTTGTTCTTTCTTCCAGTTCTTTTCTTCTAGTCAACTTTTTTCCCCTTTAATTTTCATTCTTTCTTTCTTTTTTCTTTAGCTCCTTGCTTTAATCTATCTCAATTCTTTTTCAGTCCCACAATCCTTTCATCTTTTGTTGTTTATTTAATTTTCTTTCTTTCAGATTTTTTTTTCTTCTTCTTTATTCTATCATTCGCCTTTCTTCCTTTTCCTGACATCTTCGCCAATTGTTGTCTTTCTTTCCCCTTTTATCATCTTAGTCTTTGTTTTTTAATTTCTTTTCATATTTTCTTCGTTTCTTTTCTTCTTCGCACTCCTTCCATCACCTTATGTCTTTTTTCCTCTTTTCTTTAACTAAATCTCTTATTCTTTCGTTTTCTTGTAGCTTACTTTCACCTTGGACAATTTCTAATTTCTCTTCGTAATTTGAGAGATAGCCCAAGATATGAAAACAATGAGCTCTAAATAAGAGACTTTTACCATTTGAGCCCTAACCATCGATTTACAGGTGGCAGACAAAAATAACTTAATGCCCAGCCACTGCTTTAACGGTGGTAGAGAAAAATGACTTAATGCCAAACCACCGGCACTTGTAACTGTTTTTATATCTACCGTGAAATATTACATACCAATTATTTGCGTATTTTGACTCTGGAGCTCCGACCGAAGGGTTAAAATTGTTAAAGAACTCAGGGCTCAAAGCATTAAGCAATAGATATGTGTTTTTTAAAGAAAAAATGAAAACAAAAAAGAAACTTATACATAACGTTATGAAGAGACAGCTGAAATTTCTAGGGCACATAATGAAAAAAGTGGGCCTGGAAAATCTGATACTCACAGGACCGATTGAACACTAGAGGAAAACAAAGCATAACCTACATAGCGAGCTTGAGTAAAGTGATGGCGGAACAAGGTTTAGGGGAGATAACAGAAAGACAAATTTTATTAAGCGCTACAAAGGGCATGGGATTGTAGAGAGCCGTGGTCGCCTATGTCCTGATGGGACAAGGCACCTAGAAGAAGATTTTGAGACTGTAGGATGCGCAAAAAGCTGATTCATAGGGAAACAGAGAAAAAAAGAAAAAGAAGACCAGAGCTCAATGAAGGGTTTTATAAAAAAAGAGCTAGGATAGGCATAGATATTCCATATATAGTGTTCCTTCAGAATGTGGGTGATTATGGCCCCCCAAAACGTCCTATCCTTTGAAACTCTTAGAATCATTTGTCCCTTTGCCAATACTTATCATTCAGACATCCATTCATACAAGCTCGCCGGATAAGTGGCTCGCCGCTTTCAAACTATCACTTTTGATTTCGATATGTTCTGTGAGTGCCAAATTCTTAAATTCCTACTTTTCTGTCTCAAATATATCTCAGCAGTCGTTTTCTGATTCTAAGTTTAAGTGTTCTCTTTGTTTCCCTTTTACTTAAGGCCTCTAACACTATGTTATTCTCAGTATCCTTCTGTAGAACCATATTTCTTTTGCCTTCAGTTTGTCCAGCGTTCTCTGTCGTATAAGACGATTAACAGGATATAACGGTTCAGCTCTCTTTTTTGTTCGTTTGTTTCTACCGAAATTTTTCTGTTTCTTAATAACTTTCATAACATTTGGAACGTATCTTTTGTTATTCCAACACGCATTCAGATTTCGGTGTCGTATTTTCCATCATCCGCGAAAACATTTTCCAGATATTGAAACTTCTGTACTTGTTTCATGTTGACAACTCCAATTCGTAATACGCATCTTGAGCTTTTTTCGCGAGCTGACAATCATACATTCGCCCTTCTTTATAATTGATGGTAATGTTAATATTAGCCCTTTCCTTACAAGGAAAAATTTGGCGTTCAATGACCGAGCAGCCAGGAAAATATAGTTCTTAAGCCCATTAGCTGTTAGCGCTCTTTCTAGTATTGATGGGGGTTTTCTTCTTAACTTTTTATTTGATGGTTAGTCCTTTTTTTTATTTTCATTTAATACTTTGTCTACAGCTCAAATAACTTATCCATTACAAGGCTCGAAAGATACTCAAGGTAAAGGATTTCAGTTAACCAAATAGTAATAATGAATATGTACAATACAAATAGACGAAAAGGTGGTAAGAAATGAGAATAAGGAGGAATGTTGACGATTGATCCTTGCCTTGATTTCTTGAGCGATAGACTGCGATGAAAAGTCACAATGAATGCTTTCCGTTCTCAAAGAGATTCCATGCTTTCAATGACTATTGGATATCAAGATTCATTCAGCCCTCAAGTGAAACGCTTATATTCACTCTATTGTCAGTGTTTCTGGAAAAATGTTATAGGATCTTCGGAAAACACCACAGGTATGGCATTAAGTCAATAGAAGTAATATAAGAGATTTCGAATCTAAAATGCTGATAGATACAATCTATTCAGAGAAATAGAAATAACAAGAAACGAAAGTGAGAATCAACATTTTCAAAATATAAATACAACTGGAAATTTTTACATTATTTACATTATTCGGACTATTGTCCTCATCTTTGTCGCCATATTTATCACAACGTTTCGGCCGTTGTACGCTCCGGCCTTCTTCGGGTGGTTGGAATTTCGAACTGAACCCTTTATTTCGCTCACTGGGGTAGACTGTTCTCGTTCCACGTGCCATGTTTGATGGGTGTCAGTTATCAGTTATCTCCTGGTAATTTCTCTCTGAAAGTTTTCCACTGCCTTAACCGGGTATTGAATTCACACTATTTGGGTCCTTTCACTGGATCTAACCAACGCCTTTATCCACATGGCACAGTGAATAAAGGCGTTCAGTTCGAAATTTCAACCACCCGAAGAAGGCCGGAGCGTACAACGGCCGAAACGTTGTGATAAATATGGCGACAAAGATGAGGACAATAGTCCGAATAATGTAAATAATGTACATAATACCTCATCTCAGAAATATAGACCGACTAATTTTTATTATTTATCTTATTTTCGCCTAGCTTCTCAGGCCGTCATTCTACGACCGTTAGTAAACAGTGTGATGGGAAAATAAAAATAATAAGATCCCAGCGTTTGTTTCCCTTTACTAGATGCTAACCAAATACAAGACCCAAGAGAAACTCAAGCTAAAAGTACGTGACTATGCAGAAACACGATATCTGAAAATGAAGAAAATGGCGTAGCACAAAAAAATCGAAAGTGTTTAATAATGACGAATGACAGGCGAAAGTTTTCAAAAACTGGACAATTCATATCTAAAGATGTAACGGAGATCAAGAAAATGATCTGAAATATAGAAAAATGCTGATATATACGAGTGGACTGAATGATTACAAAAAGATTCGTCAACGAAACTCTAGAGTCGGAGTGCTGAATGCAACATCAATCAGCCAAGTGACAAATTATTTTATTTGTATTATATATATATATATATATATATATATATATATATATATATAAGAATGGGTAGGACAAAAAAAATCTACATACATGTATATATACCTGCATGTATGTATAAATATATTTCTTCCTCGGATGTTATAAATACAATGCTGAAGGTTATGAAAGAGAACTATAAGTATTTATTAGTGAATATGCATAATATCCAACGTCGATAGCATGACTTGTAATTTCATGCACATCCTGCAATCTTCAGGTGCAAATATGTTCTAACCATTCACGAACTCCATAATGGTCAGAACATATTTGCACCTGAAGATTGCAAGCACTGCATGAAACTCCGAGTCGTACTATTAATGTTGGATATTATTCACTATATATGTATTAGTGTATTGGGGCAGCAAACCCTCATTAACACATGTTTCGTTGAACAAGACTGAAAATTTACTTTTTTTATTTTTTATTTTTTTTTATTATGCTTTTCCGTGCAAGTAACTTCTTCTTGGAGCTCAAAAGAACCAACCAGCTTTTGCACATTTTTTACATTTATTAAGTCCAGGAAAAAAAGGGCAAAGCCACGTTGCGTGTTGGTTAGCAAGCCTGTCTCGCTAGATCAATTACGACTGAGTAGTAAGTGCAATACTCAATGGGTGCCCCACACTTTCGCCCTTTTACCACAACTAAGCTATGCTTAGATAAACCACTAAGTGAATATAATCAAATGGATGAATATAAATAAATACACGATCAAGCGTTCGTATACAAACACATATTACATATAGTATAAGAAACTCCGAGTTGCGCATTCAACGTAGGGTACTATATATATATATATATATATATATATATGTGTGTGTGTGTGTGTGTAGGTAAATATTGAATAAGAATTCAACGAAAGAGTAAATAATTATAGAGAATTTTAAAATTTCTATCTTGACATGTTTCAACGATGAATCGACGTCATAAAAAAAAAGATTTTGTATCAACAAAACAATTTTGTCTTTATATGGATATCCATTTGCAAATGGTCATATATATGTTGGGTTGGTCCATTTTGCTAAAATAGACCTGTCGGAGTTAGCTCCACCTCAGCTCCTTAACCCATCACCAGGGGTCTCTCTGGCTGACTCTTCGCCTCGATCTCTTTTTCTCCTCAGGACTTCGGCCTTATACCACCTCGAAGATGTGAGCTCTCACAGATACTGTGTTTCCCAAATTCTGGGAACACGCTAAGAACAATACACGTACGTACGAACACTCACCACATTACAACACACACACACACATAATATTCACTACACGCACTCTATGTAACTGTCCATGTGCTTGTAACTTGTACTTGTTGTTAATTAATACATATATTTGTTTACATATTTTTGTCGGTCTTGTTTGTTTTTCTTTGTCTTTGGACTTAATTAAAGTCCAATATTCTCAGGTGGTTGGACCGGCTCGCAAGAAATTTTTACCCACGTGTGTTCTTCTACATACTCATCACCGCCACGGTCCCCTAGAGACATGCCCAACACATTTGCATGAGTGATCTCTATTCACCCATATATCTCTCCATTAAATGAAACAGGTCAGTTTGACTGGTGATTACACCAGTCTACTTGTAAGCTACCCAATATTCTACAATATATAAAAGCAGGTTAGAATAGAATTTACTTATATAAAGGTTATCAGCCGGGTACAACTTCTTATCGATTCTGTTGTATTCACCCTGCGCTAATATCCTTAGGAAATATATGAATCCATTTACCAGTTATGGGTTAAATAGTAGGGTAGACTGGGTCTTCTAGCGTGGAGTGACGGCTAGTCTAGTAGAAGAGAAACTCCGAAATTGAAACTGTAGAAAAAACAATGGCAAGTTTTGAAAAAAAACAACCCTCCGCTATCTTCAGTAAGTATTCATAGATAAGAAGGGGGAATGAATCTAGTGGAGTAATAGAGACACGGTGGAATAATGGATAGCGGCTCGGATTTCTCAAGCCGA